TAGAGGCACTTGGTATTCGTGTTTTGCTATGGATTTCGCTTATTGCTCTTGGTGGTTGCCACCACCTAGATGGCTTGGTGCAGCGGTGGAGGATTGGCACGAGTTGGTGATTGTTCATGGCCATCTCCGGTGATTGTGAGGGGAGTTGTACCTTCCCCAGCGGAGCGCCGAAAGGTAACTCTAGTAAATTGCTCGTGTCATTGAGTTACCTCACTTGTGGGTAGGTTCTTGCGGTGTCCTATCATGTGGACGAGGTTTGTGAAACACCTCTTAGCCACCGAACCACCAAGTGTTGGTCAACACAACGGGGACTAGCGTGTTGGCAAGCACGTGAACCTTGGGAGAAAATCGGTTGTCCCTTGCCCTTTGGTATTCTCCCGGTGATTGGTTTTATATGCATCTTGTGATTGGTTAATTCCTCTTCACGGCGGTATAATCATCCTACTCACTCATTTATATTCTTGCAAACTAGTTGTAGCAAGCTCTTTAGTGTAATTAGAATTGAGAGCTTGCTTTGCTATTCAAGTTTATCTAGTGGAGCTCTTTAGTGTAGCAAGATTGAGAGCTCTTAGTGAGTATTATCATAGCAAGTTGTGTGTGTATTGATCATTGCAACTAGAATTGTTGGATAGGTGGCTTGCAACCCTTGTAGAGCTAGAGCAAGTTTGCATTCCTCTATTTGTCATACTAATCAAATTGCTCTAGTTGATTTGTAGATTTTTAAATAGGCTATTCACCCCCCCTCTAGCCATATTAGGACCTTTCAGCGAGCCACTCCGCCGCATCGGTCCTCCCACAGAGAAGACCAAGCTTGATGAGTCCCTCTAGGCACGCATGGGTAACATCGGAGCGGTACCATGAATCCATGGAGGATGGAGGCAGCTGTGGAGAAGCAAAGGCGGTGGAGGAGAAGCGGGAGCTACAGATCTAGGGCTTCGGTGGCGGATTAGCAAGCACGATAGATTCGAACGGCGGCGGTGGAGAAACAGAGAAGGTAAGGCTGTGGTTTTGGTGTGCAGAAACATGAAGGGGAGGCCGCTATTTATAGGATGGAGCGGGCGAGAAGGCAAACCGTCTGCTTAGATTCACACGCCCGCTGCGCCACATCACGTCACCTCCCTCCGAAGATCATGCGCACTCTATCTCTGGCTACGCCCTCAAAGGACAAGCCGGATGACGGTTCGCTCGGTCGATGGGCGAAGAACCATCGCAGGTAAGGAGGGATACAGAGCTAAAAACGCTCCTACGACTCATTCAGGACTAGGAGTTCGAAGGCTGGCCCACCGACGGGTTCACAGCCGCTCCGGGGCACCCTTAGAGCGAGGGGTGGAAAGGGATGGGCCCACTAGTGGCCAGTACCCAGGCGCACGAGCGCCGTGGGCATCCCGGCCCATGTTCAAGTCTTGGTCAGTTCGCAGTCCATGGTTTTTTCTTGAAGAAAGGCAACGAGCCCTTGGGACCAGCCGAATGGACCCAAGAACTATATGGATTGTCCGCCAAGAGTCTGGAGTCGGTCACCAGCTGACCCATGTCGGACCCCCATGAACGGGAAGCCAGGACCCCACTCGGACCAGCCCCTTAACAACTCACCGAGCACCATGTTTCTCCATCGAGGAAAAACATGCCACGGCTCAGCCCCTCTGTTTTATCGAAAAAAACACTTGAGGGATGACGATCACAAAGATGAGCTGACCCTCGACTGGACCCCCGCTATGCGCAGGGGCTCAAGGGAAGTTGGACTCGCAAGGAGACCAAATGCGCGGTCGCAGTACGACGGCGGAACGATCAGATCCTAGGGGACCAGAATCAAGAACAATCTTTCCGACCTCCTGAATCCTATGGTTACATGGCCCCCAGAAGACCAATCACGACAAAATTGAATTGTCGTCCTACCAGGACACGCCATGGGCTACAAAAACAAGGCTAAGGCCCTCAGAGTCCTCTCGTCCGAAAAGCATCCAAAGGAGTATTCTACTTCTCCGTAGGCTTGGGGGCTACTGTCGGGTATCGATATTAGGGATACCTAAAGTAAGGAAGTTAGCGCCAATGCTGACTTTCCTGGATGGCTCGAGACATATTAAAAGGTCTCGCTTGACCCCAATGCCGCAGGCTCCATCTCACCCGACCTCAAGGCCGCGGGCTCTGTTTCGCCCTTGGGTGTGGGCTCCGTCTCGCCCAACCCTAAGGACACGAGTTCCGTCTCGCCCGACCCTAAGGATGCGGTTTCCATCTCGCCCGACCCCAAGGACGTGGATTTCGTCTCGCCCGACCCCTTAGGTGTGGGCTCTGTCTCGCCCGACCCTAAGGATGCGATTTCCGTCTCGCCCGACCTCGAGAATGCGGTTTCTGTCTTATCCGACGGGACCCATACCGTTGCCAACCACTCCAGGTCCAAGCGTGTGGGCCTGGGTCAAAACTCTGACGCTAGGGAAGAGGCTGGCATGCCTCGATGTAACCCGTAGCCATGATGGGTCATACTGGGGATTCACATCAAGAACAGTGTCGGACGTGCTAGTGCTGTTATGTCTAATCCTCGTACGGACGCTAATAGGCGCGTCAGTTCACCACGACGTCCACTAGGATGGAGTGGAATGCCATGACCGGCAGATGACGCCTGCGCATGGCGCTAGTGACGAACAGGACCGCGACATGGAGCCATCCCTGTTGACATCTACAGGATCAGCGGGACCCGCATGAAGGAGAAGAAAGACCCGACAACCCTAGAAGCCTTCTTCTCTCTCTCATTCTTCTCCTTTTTCTCTTTTGTAACCCGCGATTTCCCTTCGTCTATAAAAGGGGAAGCAGGGCGCCCCATGCTAAAAAAGGACACATGAGATCGAAATACAAGAGCACGACACCATCACACACCTGAGCGACAATTGAGCTCTCAGTACCCGTTCACTCCTTCCACCGGAGACTTGGGATCCTTTCCCTCTCTCGCCTGTTTGTAACCATTACTGCAAACCAAGTGCCGGTAACACGAGCAGCAACGAACTGGATGTAGAGACATTCCACCCGAACTAGTATAAATCCTTGTGTCCTCCGAGCACACCATCCGAGCCAGACGCGCAAATACAAATTTACTCATCGGTGGTTTGAAAACACCGACAGGCACTGTCATTATTAGGTTAAAAGATCGTTACAAGACATAAAAAAAGATCATTACAAGGTAAAGCCTGAATAGACTTGGGGGGCTTCATTTAGCCACCTCAAACTAGCCGTCTAGTTAGCCGACTTAGCTAATGCATGAGCTAATTTATTACACTTTCGACAAACAAAGACAAAAGAATTTTCATCAAAATTGTTTTTCATCATCTTGATGTCTTGGATGATTGTTCCTATATGAGATCTATCCAAACTTTATTCCATGAGCTTTCGTACCAAGTTTAAATAGTCCGAAGCAATTATCACTTTCTTGAGGTGTTGATCACAACCTTTCGAGCACATGAATTATTTAGATTCATTCAGGTGTTTTCCTCTCTTTTTTCGCGTCCTTCCCAAACCTGCCCCCACCCCCACCTCGCGGGACTAGAATGAAACGTCGTTCCCTCCCCCCTCGCGGGAATAGAACGGAACGCTGCTCCCCGCTTCCCAAACCCGCCCGCCCCGCCATAGGAATAGAACGAAACTCGCCTGCCCCCCACATCACCCCGTTCCCCCACCGCGCCCCCTGTCCCAAGAGCACGAAAACACTTCAAGTGCAACATCGCAAACATATGGAAAACTATGTAGTGCAACATCAGAATACGAATACCGCAACATCGCAAAAATATGTTGTGCAACATCGAAAACACATGTACTGCAACATCGAAAAATATGTGCTACAACATCACAAAAACACGTTCGGCAATATAAAAAAACACATGTAATGCAACATCGAAAAATTATGTTCTGCAACATAAAAAATTATGTGCTGCAACATCGAAAATTATGTGCTACAATATCGCAAAATCAATCATGAAACATAAAAAATGGGACCATTCGAAAAATATCTATTGTAACAACCCAAAATTCCCATTGCAACATTAAAAAATTATCTGTTGCAACATCTAAAAAACCCATTGCAACACGGAGAAAACAGCAAAAGGGCGTACGGAAACATCAAGCAGATGGGTTCGAGGTGCAGGTTGCTGTAGCCTTGGCCCATCACCTCCGAGCTCGCCGGAGGGAGGAGGAAAGGACCTCAGAGCTCGCCGGAATCCTAGCCACCGCCGCGTCCCTTAGATCTAGAGCAGGAGGAGAAGGAGGAAGGGGGCTCAGATCCAGAGAAGGACCGATCTACCTCGTCGGTGCCGATGCCATCGTCCTCGTCTCTGGTGGGGGTGGGGCACGGGAGCTGGGGAGCTCGGGGTCGCATGGAGCTCGCGGAGGGGGAGGGACAGAGGGAAGGAGGGAGCACGAGCGGGGGGGGGTGGCGCAGCAAGCGTGCGCGTGGTCGCAGGAGTTGGTGTGGGGATGGGGGAGCGAGCGACAGAGTGGGGATGTGGATGAGGGAGAGCATTGCGGGAGCGGATGAAGGTGGTCGAGTCGTTCCGTGTGCGACAGGTCCGTCCAAACGAAACGGGATCTATATCATTATCGTTATTTTTACATAGCCTTTTCTTTCTCCTGTCTACGTCGGTGGACGGTTTTGTCCATGCCTTATCCTACCATTCACAAATTTGATCCACAAATTCGATACGTTCATGTAATAATGTGAAAATTTAACACTGGTCGTTCCAATTTTGTGTGTTTTTTTTTGGAAACTCTAGGAGACCCTCTCGGTCCAAATGCAAATGCAACGACGTTTAACGTTTTGCACAAGAAACCCTTGCACTATGTATATTTCGCTAGGAGCCCCTGTGGCCAAGGCAATGGAATTAACTGTCAAAGTGCTGCTGCCTCTACTCTAGGCAATCAATCGTAGCCAAAAGCAAGACAGGCCGCCCGCCCCGCTGCTCAGCCGTCCGCCTCTCCGCCTCCTCCGGCGCCGGCGCTGCGGCGGCCGGCCCACGGAATCTATGGGCAACATGACCCGCTCAGACTCGCCCGTCTCCCGCCGCATCGTCCTCTCCTTCCTCGACTTCCTCAACTCCGGTCGGTACTCGTTCTTCCCTCTCTCTCCGTTCCACACCCACGACTCCCCGATCCGATCCCTCACCCGCGTCTCGTTTCGCTGCTACTCGGTAGTCGCGACCGTTCCCCTTCTCTCTCTGGACGATCCATTCAGCCCACACAGCCCACATGGTTTCTGCTTCTGCTTCTGCCGTGGTCGTGGGGGCCTGGGAGGGGATCCAATCCCGTGTGCTACCAAACCCATGAAATTAGAGCATCGCTCGCACTTTTTTTAGGAACTCGATGTGCATCCCATCTGGGATTGTGTATTGAAACCATAGCTCCACGTCTGTCACGGGCAAACCCCCCAACAAGTGCTTGTAGTGGGTGGCAGTAATTCAGGGTCCTTTTTGGAAATGGTGGCTTTCCAGGGAGGTAAGATACAGTCGTGGGCATCTCTGATTTCTGCAGGCGAATTTAAAACCCAATGAAATGTTATAATACGCTATACTGCGGGAAGCACCACATTTTCACGGAATTCATAGACTCTGGCTAGCGAGAAGTTGAGAACCAATATATAAATAAGTTGATCGATTTTAATGGAATTAGAACAACTGGAGCACATGAGTTGCTCTGGGTTTTGCTCATTTGATTTTTCTTGCCATTCAATTTTCTGACATTAAACAGCCATGTCTAAAATGCAGTTGAATTAGCTCCTGGGGTTGATGCTGAAGCTCTTGAAGTTGCTAAGGATTGCCTGGAGTCCATTTTTAGTGTTAACTCATCAGCCACTTGTGAGGCGATACAACCAGGACTGTTGCTTGAGTTATTTGCTTCTCTGGAAGCAAATGAAAGAGACCGGGCAAGAGCTGCTTTGCTGTCTCAATCTGTATCAAACAAGCCATCTCAAAATGCGGGTACATCTAATGTCGAAGAAGACTCAAACAAATGCACAACATCAAATGTATGCTCTCTCTCTCTCTCTCACCCCATTTAACACATGAATTGTGTTTCTGTTTAACAACCATCCTTTCCGTGTTGCCCCACAGGCATGCATGCTTATTCATATTTCGCATTTACCGACAATATCTTTGCACAATTTGTTCGATGTACATGTTACTCAGAGCTCCTATAACATATGCTGAATTGCTTATCCATACAGTTTTGTTACTTTTCCCTAATAGCATTCTTTAGATATACTATCTTCTCATATCATCTTTCTGCTTGTCCTGATCAGAGTGACAGTCAGATGGAGGATACATTTGACCTAGGTATGACTATGGCATAAATTTTATTCAGATATAGTTGCCTCTTGTTTATCTTGATTTCATTTGCGAGGTAACTAAAATTAACTATGTTCTCGCGAACCTTTTTTAAAAAAATCTTTGGCCAGATCATTCAGGCGATGAACTATTTGCAAAATTTTATGCTGCACTTGATGAAATCAATTTCTTTAAGACATCACCTGCTGGAACTGAAGATCCTGGCCTACTTTCAAAAGCAACACAATACTTCAATGATGCATTACTGGTAAAATGATCTCTCTCCCTCTTTCTGTTTTTTTTTCCTTATATTTGTACAATTATTAATTATGGGCCTTTTTTTGTTTCTGTTTAGGCGATGCAGACGTCAGGAACGAAAAAGGCAAGCTTAGTAGACCTTGCAGAGTCCTTTAAATCAAGAGGTATGTGGTCTGGTCATTTCATGTGTTGTATTTTGAGTAACAATTTGCATTCCCTTTGTGATTCATTAGCTTGTACACTAATGTGCAAATTCTAACTTGGCAATCTTTGCTGTTTTCAATGTGTAAAGGTAAAAGTCAATAATGTTATAGTTCAAGCCTTCTATATGCATTAATAAATGAATGTCAATGTGCTCGGTCCTGTTAGCTGACTGCTTATCATTTATTTATCAGGTAATGAATTCATGAGATCAAACCAACACCTTAAAGCGGTAGAGCTGTACACCTGTGCCATTGCACTGAACAAAAAAAATGCCATTTACTATTGCAACAGGTACGGACCAATTGGAGAAACTATGGCTGTGAACTCGCGGGCTGCAAATTACCCTGTTCGCTTGATCATTTCTGTGGCTTATAAGCCGGCTGATGCTGTTTTGTTGTGAGAGAAAAACACTGTATCATGGCTGATAAGCATGGCCGATACGATCAAGCGAACAGAAAAGATACATTTTATCCCCCCTCAGTTTTCATGTAGGATGGGATCTTGAGATTTAAGGACTAATGGCAGTTCTGCCTGAACCAGTTCTTACTTTCTAACTTTTATGGTGCTCCTATTCTATAACCTGTGATTAGGTACCAAGTCTCAGTACCTTGTACCTGTTATTAGTTCTTCCTAGAAACTCAATATCAGAGCTTAGAAGGCTTTGGGGGTGGGAGGTGGGGGTGGGGGTGGGGGGGTCTCGACCAACCTAGGTGCGGTGGCAATGTGAACAAGTAGAAATAGACAGCCAATTTCAGGTTGATGAGGACTCAAATCTGGGTGGCAGAGGTGTATGCCGGCACTTCTCTCCAACTAAGCTAGGCTACCCTTGGTATAAGGCTGAGGAAGGAAAGCACATATTTGAGAAATAAACATAAATAATGAGTTAGTTAGAAGCCCATTGAGAACTTTTCATTTCTGGCAACTAAAGGACTCTCTAGCTTTTGTTAATCCATGATGTCATTTACTTGCTTCCACTTTGATATAACATGTACATGCCACTTCCAGGGCTGCTGCATATACCCTTCTTAATATGAACAATGAAGCTATTGAGGACTGCCTGAAGTCAATTGAAATTGACCCTAGCTACAGTAAAGCATATAGCCGACTTGGATCTGCTTATTTTGCTATGGGGAATTATCACGATGCTCTGTACAAGGGATACTTGAAAGGTATCTGTTGGTGTGCTGCCCTTTTTAACATTTTCCACAGTTAGTAGGTGCAGTTGCCTGTGTTGCGTCTTTTATATGAACTGTAGATCTAGAGGTTGAACTTTTGTTTCTTGAGTAACTTTTAGCATACTGTGGCATCCAACCCCAAAGCAACTTCCTTCCTTAACATCTGGGCATCTGTACTTTTATAGAAATCTAATTAGAAAAAAAATTAGTTCAGTTCCCTGTTAAGTCCTAATCAAGTTCCACAGCCAAATGCCCAAATCCATACCATACTTTCTTATGGTGACATGCTTTAAGCACTGTGTAAACTACTAAAGTCTGGATCTTCAAATTTATTCCAATGATTCCTGATATTTCAGTTATAATAATGGGTTTTTCTTCTGCCTGATCAAACTAACTACTACACTTGTTTGTCCTGCATGTTTCGTCACTATAGTGTTATGTTATCCAATAATGTGTGGAATGTATCGTTAATCTACTTTGCTCTTCTTGCAGCCGCTGAGCTTGATCCTAGTAATGAAAATGTCAGGCAAAATATTGAGGTAAAGATTTTCTTTTTTCTACTTTATTTTCATTTGGAACATGACTATGGAAAGCTAATGTACCTTTTTTTTCTTCGCTTTGCTCTCTGTCCAATAAACTTAGGTCACAAAAAAGAAACTGTCTGAACGAGTCCCACCAGGAGAGCAGGTACTGTCACTAGAAATTTGCCTATACCTCCGAAGTGGGGTTTGAGATGTATCCTACAAATAAGCACTTTTTTTTTTTGGTGTAAAATGAAACACTTCGCTTGTAAAAAGGCTCCTAGTTGGGATGTCTACTGAAGATTATGTTTTTATTATGTTGTATGGTTTTATTTTGTTCTTTGGTCTAAATTGACAGCTAATCCATCATCTTGTTTATAGAACACACATGCACGCCAAGCTCAAGGACCACATCCAATATTTACAAGTGGTGGTGTTCCTTTCAATCTGTTTCCACCAGGTAGTTCTCCAGGTCAAGAATTCTTCGCTGGCTGGTCATCCGATATTAGTGCACCTCCACCAGGACATTCGATAAGTATAAATTTGAATGACATTTTTGGTCAAGCAAATGTCAATGCTACCGGTGAAGGACCAAGTCAAACAGGGAATTCAAATAACCATACTCCACCTGCTTCATTCCCAACTGGTGCTGCTGTTCCTCCCCCCTTTGCCTTCTCGGGCTCAGGCAATGAAGGAACTCAGGCACGCCAAGCTTCAAATGGACATGAAGGGGAACATGGTGAACCAGGCGTACGCAGTGATGATGGCATCCATATAAATGTGGCTGGACCCGAGCAGGCTGCGGAGGCTTTGAGAGCTGTGATGCAGATGCTTGGGCCACAGAGGGGTCCACATGAAGGTGCACCTAGAGGTTTGATACTAATCTGCTTCATTTACAACATTTGTTTCTTTTGAGTTAAGTTTGTCAAGCTCATGCTTTGAGCAGAATAGGGCATGTCTTCTCTAGTTATCTTTGAAGGAATAACTCCTAAATGAATGCGATCCATATCTGTAGAGGAAAGGAATATCATACTGTCTTGTTTGTATCGAACAAACAATCGTTTCAGTGCATTGAACAAAACACCATAGATAGTACAACAGGTGTGATCGCTGATCCCAAAAAAAGGAAGGAATTCTACTGCTTGCATTACCAAAAGAATGATTGGTATAGTTGTGTACATGCTTCCAGTTTGCCTTTTGTCTCTTTATTAGTTCATTGTCCAGTTGGGGCGAAAGCGAAAGTGAGAGTACTGAATTCTTCACGTACAAGTTGCGTAGAAATCCTATTCATTGAAAAAGAAGAAGCTATTTTTTTCTATCATGCGGGGCACTGGCCTAGAGTAAGTTTTGAACAATAGAACGAGTCAAATATGAACTATTCTGTGTCATGTTTGCTGTGCAGGACCAGGTTAATACGTGGGAAGTAGGAAAATGTGTTATGCGGCGTATTGTTGAATTGTCGTCTGCAGAAGTCTTATACAGGACATTATTTTGTCTTTTCTATCCTGATGAAGAATGGAATTTCTTGTGCACCTTATAGCAGTATGTCTGTGCTACAATTCCACCTTAATGGTTGCTGGCACATTTTGCTCAACTTACCTGCTCTGTTCATCTTGGCGGAGATGTATCATTAGCTATGCTGAGTCTTGTTTGTTGAGATTGTCCCGTGATTTGTGTATACCTGTTGGTCCATCATGTGATTTAAAGCCATTTTGCCCCCTGGTTTTTCGCTGCTTGTTGGTTGCCAGTTGATACTTTGAAATATTCCTGTGACTGGAATGAAGTGCATGCATGATCATTATTGCCTTTGCTTGGATAATTGTTGGTATTGCAAATCATCACCAGGAGGGAAGTTACTATTAAGTTACCAAGCTGAGTATATATCAGTTTGGAGATGGCATCCATTCCAAAGGCTTTGTCTTTACTGCTTTGGTACCAGAAAGAAGGTAGGAATGGGTGGGCCTGGGCGAGCTCACTTCATTTTGGAGTACTCTTTTCTGTAGATAGATACTGTAACAAATATATCTAGAATCTAGATAGATTGTGTCTTTTGGGCTCGGCCACCATATAAAAGAAGTGAAAAGCCCAGAAAGGAAGAAACAAACAGGGACATGACATTGTCTTTTTGTTGGGCTGGTATGCTTTGCTTCATCAATTGGCTAATGCTAATTGGCGGCTTTGGCATCCTTTGACAGACATCATTTGAGTAGTGAAGCTGAGGATGCCTTTTATTCCTGCACGGCCCCACCAATTAATAAATTGACCAAAATGGAATGCTTCAAAGGAGCCGAACCTAGGGATGGCTAAAATTTTGCTTTTGCATCATGAGATGAGACCATATATATATACCAAACTGAAGCGTCCTGGTCAGGTCTTTGTAGCACAAGAAAAGCTACTTCGTTGCGTTGAAACGTACACTGACTGACTTGGTCCCACCACCTAATCACAGGTGGACACGGATTAGGGATTATTCCCCATCACAAGCACAACACAGCTGCGCCCCCACATGGCCAGGCCAGGCCAACCCACCCACCCACCGTCCATGCCCGTCACAGTGAAGCATCCCGAAAGCACACTACAACGCGCTTCCAGAGTAGAGTACAGGTAGATACGTATTTATTTCTAGGATTAGCAAAGCAACAGCCAAATGTCTGCACTGGAGTAGAGTAGAGTAGAGCACCATTGAAAGAACAAAACATGAGTGCCTTCACGTCTCACATCACTTCTCCTTGGTTGGCACTTGGCAGGTCTCCCTCCATTTCTTCTCTTTTTTTCTTCTTCTTTAATATAGGGCGTGTGCGCGCCTAATGTGTGGAAACTACAGGACATCCTGATAATTTTTAACTAACGGTTTATCAAATTATATGCATGCTTTGACTAGTGTGTGGAAGTAATAAAGGAACTGTTTTTTTCTCACAAATATTTAAAATATAACATGGATGTGGTTATCATATATATAAGTATTATAAACATTGATTTTGATTTGGGTAGGGTTTTTTTGGACTAGAGTACTTAGGGCGGATTATTCTTTTATTAGTGGCAACTGGCTTCTGTTTTGATCTCGTCAATTTTAAAATATACGGTGCTAGTCTTGTAGAGGTAGGATTTAGGATATGAATATCGGCTTTGAACTTAGAAGGCGTTTGTTTCCATGGATGGAAACGTAAATCGTAAGGAAAACAGATCACGCGGGGAGCAATATTCCCGTGATTTGTTCGGTTGCAGAAAAATAAGGGAAACTGATAACGCCAGTTGTTGCGTCATGCAATAAAGCTTGTGGAGGGGCGGTATTGGTTGTGAATGGGTCCGTATATGATTGCGGGGTACTCCATAACGGACCGAGATGAACCAAACAACTGTATCACCATCCGATCTCCTCCATAATCTAATTATGTTACATTTCGCTGAACCAAACGCCATCTTATTTTTTTGAGGGGAAAACCATTGATTTTATAACACTGTGCTTCTTCTTTTTGAATCGGAGGTAACCCCACTTCCATTATCGCTAACGGAGACAGTTCAGAAAGAGAGCAGGAACAACATCTAAGACAGACTTACAAACACCAACGCAAAGCTACCAAGTCCCAGCCAAACACAACTAGCACCTGCATAACGACGCTGCAAAAGCCACCTAGGCATAACAGTATGCTGCCCAAAAAACAAGCTATCTACGCATATTGCTTCCTCCCAGCAACTTGGGCCTGATTAGATTAGTTTGAGGGATTAAAGTTTTGAGGTGTCACATCGGGTGTTATATAGAGATATCGTATTGGGTGTTCGGATACTAATAAAAAAACAAATTACAGAATCCGTCAGTAAACCGCGAGACGAATTTATTAAGTCTAATTAATTCGTCATTAGCACATGTATTACTGTAGCACCACGTTGTCAAATCATGGCCTAATAGGCTTAAAAGATTCGTCTCGCAATCTATGCAATTAGTTATTTTTTTAGTTTATATTTAATACTCTATGCATGTATTTAAATATTCGATGGGATATGATGTAAATTTTTGAGGAGGAGCTAAACAAGACCTTGGCCAGATTACCTGAAAGCTTGAGTAGAAGAGCTTCTCATTCCTTCTTGTCGCCACTGTCATCATTCTTCAGTAGCTGTTGTCCATCCCTGCTTCTCTTCTCGCCCAGCAGAGACGCAGCGATCTTTAGCATTGTATTTACCCCAGCTTCCAAAGCCTCCTTGTCGATTTCCTTGAATTCACCAGGGCACATGCATGACAAACGATAGCAATAGGATTCAAAAGAGGCTTGCTTCTTCGTCCGGTTCGTTATGGTTAAAAATATTATTGACTGATTTGGTGTAAGAGAAAAATACTATTCATTGATCGATAAACTACGGTTTACCAGCCAAATACGAGAGTAGGCTGCTTGATGGTATAAAATGGATAGTTAAAGTACATCATATCCTTGCGTTTTTGGAATCTTACCATGACGGTCTGAAAAGAAGTGCGTGCATAGGGTAGGAGTACAGAGTACTCCATACTACTAGTAGTAGGCGTTCGTTGGAATTTGGAAATGAGAGGGAGGGATTATTGGCGCTGCGATTAAAAAACTATCAATAACAAAATACAGAACTCGCTAATTAATGTTCAGAAAAAAGTACGTACTAGTCGCTAATTAACCCGGGCAGCAGCGCCCTGTAAAATAAGAAATTTTGAAAAATAAAAACATCCAGTAGCAAAGATCGAGGAGAGAGGGTCTTCGTCTCCCTCTTGTTTATTATCGGTGCGCGGTGTGCCTACCCTGCGCCCCTGCCCTGCCCCGCACCGCCAGTCCGCCACCGGCCACCGCAGCAGAGCAGAGCAAACCCTCCCCTCGCAGCCTGCACCACCAGCGGCGCCGCACCCCCCGGCGCGGCCGGGACCAACAAACGGAACGAACGCAGGATCACCTCGGATCTGCGCCTCGCCGGACTCCCAACGAACGTCACGTCACTGAACGGACGCCACAGATTTGGCCTGCTCCACTCCACTCCACTGGACGCGACGCCAGATTTGACAACGCCGCGCGCGCTCACACACCCAGCTCGCGTCGTCTCCGGCCTGCCAGTGCCGGGACCGGGGCTCCTTCCATGCATTCGCCGAGGTCGCGCATTCGCGGCCGCGACCCGCACCCGCCCTCGGGTGGTGGACGCCACCGCCGCCGGTCACCGCCTGCTCCGCCCTCCCCGCGTTACCAGCGACGCCCGCAGAGGCGCACCCCGCCGCCGCGGCGCGGCGACGATCCCCACCCCGACGTCTCCGCCCCCGCCCACCACCGCATCCTGCTCGAGGCCGGCCGCCTCGCCGCGCACTACCTGGTCGCCCAGGGCGTCATCCCCGAGCATGTGCTCCGGGCCAGGGAAGACCCGCCCGCCCCACGCCCCGCGCACCCTCCCGCCAGCCGCGGGAGAAAGCTAAACGACGGCGGCGGTGGCGGCGATCCGAGATCGCGCCGGAACGATGGGGACTGGGCCCGCGTCTGGGAGGATGACGACAGGCAGGCACGGAAGGCGACCAGATGGGACAGGAAGAGCCACAGCTTTGACGAGAGGCGTAAGTACCACGACGCCGGCCATGATGTGGACAGGGCCCCCCGCCGGACTCGAGACTATGATGAGCCCAGGAGACCTCCGATGTCGAGGTCCTACTCGCATAACGATCGCCGGCCTTCCGCTGATGGCGGCAGAGTGGATCCAAGGAGCAGGAGCAGGACCAGGAGCTACTACGCTGGCAGCAGCAGCAGCAGCAGCAGAGATTTGGACCACACCAAGGTGCCAGACTCTGGCATTATTCCTGCTGCTGCTGGTAGGGACTTTGACGTGCACTACCGTCATGTCGATGAAATGCCAAGGCACCAGCGGAGGGTGCCTAGTTCAGTGGTGGTTGCAGAGGTGAATGACAGTGCCGATGAGGAAATGGCTATCGAAGACGGGGAGATGGTGTCAGAGATCCACGGACTGAATCGCACTCGAGACATTTCTGAAGGCGAGGATGGTGAGTTTGAACAAGACATTTCTGAAGGCGAGGACGGTGAGTTTGCAGCTACTCGCTTGAATGGTGTTGAAATGGATGCCACCCAGCACCAACTGTCTGATTCTGATACCAATGTTCATCCGTTGGAATCTGTTGAGGAACCGGCCGTGCATAGGGGGTCCCAGCTCAGCAATGCCGTAGAGGACAGGGAAGCTGCCAATGCACCCATGGTCATGGATGCTTGTATGAGGGAAACACTAGGTGAGGACAATGACTGCTCTCAAGCAAGGGATGAAATGGTGGCTCCACATCCACAGAGTGATGGTATGGCTGGTGCTGGCGATTTTAACAGAGATAAACCAGAGCTGCCAGCTTCGTGCAGAGTTTTTGACCTCAACGTCGTCGAAACTCCAGATGCCTGTGAAATGACTGAGATCTCTGG